GAAAAATCAAACGAAACGGGAATTACTAACCGATGACCTTTTAACATATTTTTAACAACCACGTGAAACGAAATGAAATAGAAAAACTGAAAAATACTTTTAACGTTCATTAGAACGTGCGGATGAAATTCGATGGATCGATCGGCTGTTACCTGTGGCGGGAACAGATTCCTGGCCTTTAAAATCTGGACTGTTAGCCGTTCGGCGCTTGGCAGATAAGAGAGCGACAGTAGAACTTCTTGAATTTGTTCGGGTGGCTTCCGTTCACGTTCAATTTCCCCCCAAACTTCCTCGGTCGAGGTAGGGGAATCTAATCGTAAAATATTCAGCGGCACTTTGACAGAACCTACTATATCGTTTCTGGAGAAACGATCGTAGTCGAGCACCTGTTAAAGAAAGAGTTCGACCTGATTAAATCAACACTACTCCTTTGTAAAACTTTTTCACTACGACAGATATTCGCAACGCACGTCTCCGTTGATTGAGAACGTCCTGTTAATGTTTATTAAGGGATCGACAACTTGTCGAAGAAATTGATTCGCATGTTGAAAGAAAATTAACTACTAGAAGCTACTGTTTGAACAGAGCCTTGCTTATATTAAAGAGAAAAAAAAAGAAGAAAATTTTAAATAAAACTATCCGAATGATCGATATATCATATTTTTCAATTTTTACTGTTTCAAGGTAATCTGTTATCTTACTAACAATATTCTGAAATAACAAATAGCAAAATAAAAATCTGAGAGGATCCAATACGTAGACTACAGCAATGATATTCGTGTTAATTGCCTGCAAAACCAAGGTTCTGTCCTGAAGTTCGTCGTTGCTGACGGGGAATTTGAATTGTTGATCGAAGAACGGGTTCGTCTCGTTACGGTATATCTGCGTCTGCCGTTTTCTCGAATCCACTTCAGGGCTGAGCGTCAGCTTCACGTAAGGATCGTTGAATCCTCCTTGATCACTACCAGCCAGATCGTGAGCCTCGATCAGGTGTACATGCAAATCCGATCGATCGAAGTCGTATTTGAATCGCAAATGGAGCCGGCCCAGACTCTTTCCATTTCTAAAATTAGAGCCAACACGAAGACACGCGATAGTTACTTCTTGTCGGCGATGTGTATCGAGCAATTTGAATCCAAGTGTGTAACTTTTTATCGAACGGAACACGTATATCTAAAGTCGACTCGGTTTGGGAAATCAATATTAAGTACGCGCGCGAATGTAACAACTGTTGTTGTTGTTGTTGTTGTTTTTTTTGTTTAAAGTTCGTGAATATAGTAGCTGAAGAAACATGAATCTTTAAAAGTCTTTGAAGTTCAGGTTAGTCAGACTTGGTTGTTTGAAGTCGAACCGCTCGATGTTAGGGATCAACGTTGAATCGAGGCAATATTTTTATTAACAAATATAAAACTCGCATATTTTCGTATGATAGCTATGAAAAGATAATTCCAAGGATTCTCTCTCGGTACTTTCTGGAGTTTGCAATTTTTGATGAAACTTCAGGAAATTGACATAAATTATTGCTTGGCCTTTCGTGAGTACACTGTGGATTTCTGCATGAAACTTTACATCAAGTATCCAAAGTGCAGTGTATGAAAAATTTTTTTACCAAGATTTTAAATTATATTAATTATTACATTTATATATTACATACTATATTTCGAAAAATACGAGTCTGCATAAAAATCAGCAATAATGACCGAAGTGAGAGAAATCGAATCGTTTTACATTCAAATTATTAACAATGGCAAATCGCTTGAACTCAGCTAAATGTCAGTTAATCCGAACGAAAATTCAATAATATTGAACCCGCGTCGGCGAGCGTGTTGCAAAAATTACATAAAATTCCATGCAATGAATTTCATCGAAACGGAGTATCGAGATTAAATAAAACGAAAAATCGGATCTGTCTTCTCATCGATCGCCAAGTGGCAACGACACCTATGTAATAATCGTATTATGAAATCGAGAGCTCGAAGCACCTAACTATCGGTTATTTTCACTTTGACGTCGAACAGGTTTCGCATACTCAGTGATAAACTCGCGCATGTTGCTTCGTTATTATACGTGTTGCACGTCACCAATTAATAAATGCGAGGCATGAACGTGTTCTTTGCCTATTGACCAAGGGATTAATCATCCGCGTGTCTGGCGGCCAAGTCAAATAATAAAATGGCTCGCTTTTCGTATCCGATTGCCGTATATCCGGTAATTCAATCCTTTCAGCAGACTATGCTATGCGTCTGTTCCAGGCAGAAGCGGATCGAACATGTAGGTCATCAGGAGTAATATACATGTGCCTTCCAGAAGCCAAACTGATCGACTCTACTTTTTTTTTTTTTTTTTTTTTTGCCATTCAGTTTCTTAATTTCGTCAGACGGACGTCCGATCGACGTTCAATTTTCTCGAAAGAGACGATTTATTTCCTTGAAGGGTTTATTCATTGAAGGAAAATGGCCGTGAAACATCGCCGACAGACCGCGAATTTACAAGCTTATGCATTTACCGGAAATTTAAAATTTTACGGAGCACGTATACAAACACATATATAAAATGTTCAGAGTCTGAGAATTTGCTCCCATTTTTTTTTTTTTTTTTTTTTTTTTTTTTTT